CAAGTTTCGTCAGAAACAACTGAAAAAAAAACAAAATACTGACGTTACAATCAAAGGAAAAATATTCCATGTAGAATAACTCCAATCGCTTGTTCTAATAATAATACTCGGCATTTTAAGCACAAATTCCTCACCACGAGTCAGGCTCGCGGCTTTTGCCTATGACACAAATTCTTTACCACGAGTCAGACTCGTGGCATTTGTTTATGACACAAATTCTTCACCACGAGTCAGAGTCGTCGTTTTTTGTTTATGTTGTAAACTCTTTACCACGAGTCAGACTCGTAGTTATATGCCAAAGGGTTAATCTGCGATCAATGACAGTAGCTACTTTTTCAATACTTTAATTTTTACTTTTAATTTTGGTATTTTTGCTTTTAAGGATTTTTCTTTACAAATTCTTATGTTTTAAAGCAATAAAGGTCTTGTTATAGTATTTAAATTACTAATTAAAAATGCTGTATAAAAATATTTAATTATTCATGGTTTTAATTGAATTTCTGTTCCTTGGAGATGGTATATAAAAAGTTGTCTGATCATAAATTACTGATTTATATATATATAGAGAGAGAGAGAAGGAGAGTATTAAACTGTTAGTATTTTTTCCTTGGACTTAATTCGTAGAACAATACTGAATTGAAATGTAACACGGGCTTCGAAAACTGTAAGTTAAAGTGATATATTCTAGGAACAACAAAACTCTTTATGATAGGCAAGATTAAGAACTTGCCGTAATTCCTCTGCTACAGTATCTGAAAAGGTTTTCTGCTTTTCTTTTCATGATACGTTTCTTCTAAAAGCTGAGTTTCTGTGCCGGAAATTAACTTGCGTCTTCGAACCTACTACAAAATGCATGCCTTAATCTCTTGTAGATCAATGGAAGTTTCCATTCTTTTTCTACTTACTTAGCCTTCTGAAGAGCCGGAATTTATACACAATAACAACTTATTTTACTTTGCGCTGCATCGTAAACACCTTTTTGCGTCAATTTCTATAGAATGAAAAAGAAGGTTGACACCGAAATGTTCACAGAAATCTTTCGATCACATTTTAGTGGTTCGTACGTTGTTCATAGCAAGCTATTGTTGAAATTTTAATTATTTCCTTCAAAGCTTAATGAAACGTTGTGATTAGCACAACAATTGAATAGAGATAAGAAAATAAGCATCGCTTTTACCATTGTATGAATAACGAACACAGAACAAACAGTTAAACAGAAAATCCACTCGCCAGCTTCTTTAATTTATTATAGATTTCTTTCCGTTAAATAGACTATTGTTATTTCAAATGTTTTGATGTATGCTGCGCTTTTCTAAGCAAAACCGATGAAATGGCAAACGTAATTTTTCTAACAACCATCACAAAGCACTCAAACATTTTGGCCTAAAAATATTAAGTAATCTCTCGAGAAGTCCAAAAAATATTTATGTTAGTAAACCACACATTTATTGATGATATCATCTCTCATAATATAGAATAAAAACATTATTGCTTATTCAGTTGATAATTTAGATTTCATAAACCTGAAATTTTCCCCCCAGTTTGGTCTAGTCTGATTTTGTCTACAAAAGTTTTTTATTATCATTTATTTCTCTTTCTACCATATTTTAAAATCCTTCGCCGCCTATTGCTTTTGCGATAGCATAATTTTCCATTGATAATCTTTTTGCCTCTCAATTGCAACGTTCTTTGGACATGCTATATTAACTTAAAATAATATATAGAAATATCGTCATGCAGAGTTTGCGCGGTATTTCTGATTTAGGCAGTTAATTTTAATAAGATTATAATTAAAATAGTTGTATTTTCCCGTGCAATTTAGCGCGAGACGAATTTTAAGAGAAAGTTATGCCGGAAAAGTAAAAATTCAAGACAAGGAAGAAGTACAGAGGGCGCCACGACATCGCCATAGGACAAAGCACTAACAACATACGTGACACAGCACAACATACTGTTACAACATACTTCAACACATAGGACATAGCACTAACGTACTGTTACAGATTATTTACAATGCAAGAAGTTATGTTCATTATAGAGCTTGTTTGTTTTGGCTGGTTTGGCATCTGCTTTATGATACTTAGGGTGTTATATTTGAATTATGTATTGGATGTTGTAGTGTGATAATTAGGTAGGTAGTTTTTCATTTGGTTCAAGTTCAGAGTTTAGCGGTCCATGGGTGCACTAGTTTAACGTGTATTTTGAAATTATTGCATTTGATGCACAGTTCACTGTTCAGCTGTTTCAGTTCACATGTGAAATTGGTACGTTATACCTGGTGTAGATTATGCTACCTGTTTAAGGTGGTGTTTGATGAGCTGAAGACACCCCTGTGACGATACACTTCTCCTCTTACCAGTGACACTATGGCATAGTTCAGTGACACTATGGCGAACATGGTAAGTTGTAGGGTGTATAATCGGGGTCGTCCATCTCCCCGCATACACACACATTTATTGAAGAGAGATTTCTTTCGCAGAAGTCTGTGGGGAATGGACCATGACCGGAGATAAATTGTGTGAAGAAATAGTTGGAGATTATGCGTTCTTCATTAACCTTGGGGTGCAAAGTAAAAATACAGGAGCACGTGCATTTTAACTCAAAACTGGACGTTAAAACTCAAAACGTGCATTTTAACTCATTTTAACTCACGTGCATTTTAACACGTGCACAACTCGAGTTCATATTGGTGTAGTGTGTCTATTAACTTTCGAAGGTTGTCGAAGGTTGATTTCGAAGGTTGATTAGAAACCTTAGGAGTTCTATTCCGGAGTTCGTGGGATGGCGAACATGGTAAGTTGTAGGGTGTAATAATCATATAAATTGATTGCTCGCATTTTAGCGACCTATCAATTTATATTTTGGAGGGCAGTTTTGGACTTTTTGGAGGACAATTTTGGAGTATTTTGGAGGACATTTTGGTGTCCTTTTGGAAGACAGTTATTATGAAATACAGTCTTTGAGATCACGTTGCCGTTAGGTGGTTGATGCTTGTTTCTCGTTCTGAGGAGCACATTTCGAGTCCATATTGGTGTAGTTCATGGCATAGTTCTTGTGAATATAGGCACAGGTACATTATAAACTGATAGCTCTCACTTTAGCGACCTATCAATTTATATTTTGGGGGACAGTTTTGGACTTTTTGAAGGACAGTTTTGGAGTACTTTGGAGGACATTTTGGTGTTCTTTAGGAGGACAGTTATTATGAGATACAGTCTTTGAGATCACGTTGCCGTTAGGTGGTTGATGCTTGTGTCTCATTCTGGGGAGCACAACTCGAGTTCATATATATTGGTGTAGTGTGTCTATTAACTTTCGAAGGTTGTCGAATGTTGATTTCGAAGATTGATTAGAAACCTTAGGCGTTCTATTCCGGAGTTCGTGGGATGGCGAACATGGTAAGTTGTAGGGTGTAGTAATCGGGGTCGTCCATCTCCCCACATACACACACATTTGTTGAAGAGAGATTTCGCAGAAGTCTGTGGGGAATGGACCATGACCGGAGATAAATTGTGTGAAGAAATTGTTAAGATAAATTGTGTGAAGAAAAGTTGGAGATTATGCGTTCTTCATTAACCTTGGGGTGCAAAGTAAAAATACAAGAGCACGTGCATTTTAACGTTGAATAAATGGATATCTCGGTAATTTGCATTGAAATTGAATAAATGTAATTGACCACTATGGTAGCTGTAACCGTAAATCGATCCTCTTATTGGTTTCGAGAAATCTCGAGAAGCAGAAAATGCGAAAACTATCTCGCGTGGCCGGTTGAAAACTAGAGAGAGACATCTCACCTCAGTTTAGTTAGCCGCCGCTGTTATTGTCGCGAGCTTAGCGTGAGATTGGATTAGCTTTCTATTTAAATGCGCTATGCATTGCGTTCTATTTAACGCTTTTAGCAGTTTGAAATACTATAACTACTAATTATATTGCGTGATATTGTGAACCCTTGTATGAATGAATATCTCTGAGGAAACTTCCAGCTTTCTGTTATGTTTCTTTTGACAAGAATAAATTTTATTAACCCTTTTATCGGACTGGTGCATTTAATCTATTTCGAACCCGTCCAGGTGCTACTTTGGTAGACGCTTGCACGGATTTTAGCGATTTATTTTTGGCGAGCGATACGACTTATGGTAAACCCATTGCTGGACAAGTTATTTAGGTACTATTCCGTTTTGAGGACCGTAAACAAAGTGTAGCGAAAATGTATGCGCAAAAGCGCCAAATCTAGCAAACACGCCCATTTAACAGGGCTAAAAATCTAGCGTACGCACTGATTTCAGATTGCGTAAGTTTATATAGTTCTATATTTCTTCAGACGCCATTGAAATACTAGTTTAATTTTTAAATCCTTTTTTGATATCCTATGGATTTCACAATTTGGGAATCTCCCATGACGAGAAGGCTGCAATAGAATTTTGGGTAAAGTGCAGAATCACCCACTGCTTGACGCGTTTTTAAGAATTGCACATACTCGGTATCCATGTACACATCGATCTATTTTCCACTTTAAAAAAAAAAATATCCCAGAATTGCACAAAAATGGCACTGTGCACACCCTTGACACATCGACTTATTTTCACTTAAAAAGTAAAAGAAAATTAACAAAATGCAAGTGTTTTTAACGTTATAAAAAAGCGGCAAACAAATAAATGGGCGATTCTGCACTTCACCGAGAATGTTTTTCAAAGAAAAGGCATCATTCATTATAGAAAATTTTGTTTGAACAACCAACGAGATGAAAGTATGCTTTAGCGATAACTTGGTAGCAAAATAGCGATGCAGGCATTCATTCAGTTATGTTTAGGAATTTTTATATAAATTATAATAATGATCTGAAATAGTTATTTACTCTTATGCTTCCATTTAATCATCTTTAGCCTTTTTTATATAAATTATAATAATAAATGAGTATTATATGAAATTAGCCTTTCATCTAAATTAAAACATCAATCTTACATAGTTATTTACTATTTATACTTCCTTTCTTACTTTAGGGTTGCCGCAATTATTTTTCGCAGCACTGGCGTCAACAATAGTTTGCGATTTTTTACGGCCCTCAAAACCGAATAGTACCGTTATTTATGGTAATCGATACTTTGTTGTCATTTTATTTAAAAAATAATGCGTTTTATTATGCATAAATTCTGTGTTTTGAATATTATTTATGGCTGCTAAAAATTAAAAATCAATTTAATTTTGCATTTTTATTTGAAATAAAAATTTTATTGTTTATGATATTTTATAATTTTATGTTGTGCACGATGTAATCAATGACCTTACTTTAAAAGTAATTGGTTTTAATATCTATAAATTTAATCTAGTGTTTTCAACATTATTTATGGCTGTTAAATATTAAAATACAATTTAATTTTGCAGTTTTTTTGGAAAATGATTTTATTATGCATGATTATTTAAATAATTGTAATTCTGTGTGATATGTAATAAGCTCTCTGATTGATTAGAGAATATTTGTGAATTAACGAGCTATAATCAGCTCCCTGATTGGTTACTGAATATCTGTGCATTACCGCTCCCGCGCCATTTTAAAATTTTATTATTCATCTCTTCAATTTCCTTAGATTTCTTAGACTTCCATAAATTCTTGGATTCGCATTGGTCTTTCTTACAATTACAATAGCTGTTAACTAAAAGATTTTTTAGATCATTTAGGAATGGGAGCGAATAAGAATCTTGTAAAGTTTTTATAACGGTATTTTTATTCAATTTCTTTGCTATATGAAAGTAATAATTTAACCTTACTTTGATATTTATATTCGTAGGGTACTTTTCCGTTTTGCCGGTGCAAGCGATAAAGTCGCCAATAATGGTACAACCGATGCCAAACGAATATTCTCGCTGGTAACCTTTTACGCCACATTTTCAAAACAAGTCGCAGCTTTTTCTTATCAGATTGATTGTTTCTTTCAATACTGGCATATAATTACATAAAATTTTTATCAGATAGTTCAGTTTTATGTCTAAGGCCATTTCCGGTAATTATGTCAATTAGGATGCAATCACAGCGCTTACCCGAAGCCGAAAATATAGAAAAGGTAAAGTCAAGGGTTAAATTCATCAATTCTAATGAAAGCGAAGTACTACACTTTTTACATAATTTCTGAGTAAGCTATACGTACGAATTGAAATATTTCTTGCATTTAAACTTGTGTTCCAAATTAAGATTTAACTTGAAATTAATGTAGATAATTACTGAGAGCATTAGATTTTTGTAGAGTAGTTTACGTGAGATGAGAACGCTTCGGGTCACGTGATACGAACCGGCGAATCAGGATGTTGAACCATGAAAGCATAGTAAATTCTAAAATTAATGTCTTTTTACAAATTTATTGTCTTTATTTATTGGCTTTTTATAAAATTTTAAGCGATATTTAAGTGTTTATGCCTTCAAAAAAGAATTTTTAGAACTAACATTTTTTTTAAATATTTTTTATGTGTATACTGTATGATGTCGCCAATGAAGTCTGCTTGGCGAGATTTGCGCCAGCGAAACGGAAAAGTACCATTCGTAGTAAATGTATTTATTTACATCGGCCTGCCATCTTAAAAAACGACGTTTTCAACAAAAAATTAATCCATTATTTTTAACGATATTTATGTTTTTAAAGTTTCGAATACTTTACTATGCGTAAAATACGTGAAAACAGCGTTTTCCAAGATGGCTGACGATTGTAAAAACCTCGCCAACAATTGCGCCAACGTGAATCGCCGAAAATCCGCGCAGCCGTCTACCAAAGTAGTACCCCCGTACGCATGCAACTGTACTTAACTCCTGGTATATTAGAAACTAAAACTCTCATTTATTTTATAAAAATTAAATTATGTTCTTATTATTTGTGTTATTAGTTTTTATTCTGTCCTGTATCTTATTGGCTTCCATCATAATAATTCGTCCTATTTCAGAATTTTATGCAAATTTCAGTTACGAAGGCGTAATATTAAATACTAAGTTTCGTTAACTGTAATATAAGCTGAATTCTAGCGAAATCGCTGTCAGCTGTTATAAGGTTGCTTCAGTGCTACTCTAAATTCTGTGTTTATAGATAACTAGAAGTTAAGAAACGAAAGAATTCTAAATATCAAATTATTTGAAGAGTTAAGATTTGTGAATTTTTGGCGTTAGTAGGTCAGTTGTTTATTCGTTTGCAAATTAGGGAAAATTTCAGTTTGTGTTGCACATTTAAGTTCAGTCAAAAGCTGTTATTTAAATAATGTTTTAATAATTTCGTTTCATTGTTTATAAATTATAAGGTATTTCTCCCGCCTTCTTCGCATGTCTTCGTGGTGAAGTGGTCAGCACATTCGGCGCATATTCGAGAGGTCCCCGTGGTTCAAGTCCCGGTGAGGTCATTGCGCATTTTTTATATCTCATGCTTCGAAATAGCCTAATGTTTCTACAATTTCCTGTGCAATGTCTCGCCTAAATATCTCATAAACAGAGATTTTCAGTTAAACACAACGTAAATATGAAACATATGTATAGATAGACGTAAGCAATAACAGTGTAACATTTGTTCACCTGAAAAAAATAATTAAATACTTTGTACCTCATATATACAAATAATAATTCGTAATTTTCATGAAAAATCTGTTTAAATTTAGCAGCTGAAAAATATTCGTAATTTGAAAAAATAAATGCTTCAAATTATGCATAATTATTCCTAAAGTATTCTCAGTTTCTCAGAAAACTTTGAGGGGCACAGTCAGGGCTTAATTTCTAAGATTAGAAGTGCCGGAGCCCTATGGAAGACTGTCAGCAAAGAGGAACAAGAGTAAATAAATAAAAAAATGACTAAATTAAACTCATTAATAATTTTCAAATTAAATAGTTAATTATTATCAAATGAATTAATAACTATTTAATTAATGTTTATAAATTTTTATTTAATCAATAATTATTATATAATTGATTATAATTTCATTGATAATTACTAGATAATTAATTATTATTTATTGAAATAATTAAAGATTGAAGTAATTAAATAGTTAAAATTAAATAAAATGTAAAGAGATAAATTGAAATAAGCGATTTTTAATATAATTTTATTGTTAAAATAAAATTTTTGTGATAAAATTTCTACAGAAATTGTTATTTAATTACATAAAAGAAGTGTCGCAGCCTTCTTATTCAGGGCTCCGGCGCGTTCCGGCTAGAATTATGATTTATTACAAAAATTAAGAAGCACCGGAGCCGAGATCCGGTGGGCTTCGGCCCAATTTAAGTTCTGGGGGGGGCGGAGTTCTTTTATCATCACAAAAATTAAATATTCTTGAAGTATAGCTGATGAAAAATTCCAGGGAGAAACAGAATGAGGATATGAGTAGGTGGAAACAAAAAAAGAGGGAAACCTTGGTGAGAGAGAACGTTCTCTTTGACCAGGGCCCTCTGCTGATATAATTATAGCCATCAAGCAGATGTGTGTCAGTGGTAAAATGGGTCCTGAATCTGATTCCTAAGGATGAATGTAAAGTTCCTGGTTACGCTTCCCCCCATTAGTGGATACTGTGGGAAGACGATGTATAGGACGGGCTTGAGAAGTTTATCTCAGTATTTCACTCTTGTTGTACTCGCTGTCACTTAACAACGCACATCTGAGAACACAATTTTTCCATCCTGCGAGGGTAACTAACTGTAAGCATGGATAACAATACACTAGATACGATGGCATGGCGAGAAATTTACGCGTTCCGAAACAAACTCCCCCAAATTTATAGCCCTTTTTAAAGGGAAAGGTTTTCCGCATGTGAGTGAGGGTACTTTACTTGAACGTCTCACGTTCTCATAAGTTCGTATTTCTAGGGAAATAGAGTATTGCAAGGTCTGCTTATAGTTAAACTAAAACATTAGGAATTCTAAATTTTTTTCCCTTTAAATTGTGGTTCAGTTTTATAAAAAGAAGTACCGAAGCTCGTCTTATTTAGGGCTCCGGTGCGCTCCGGCTATAATTGTAATTTATGTTAAAAATTGAGAAGTACCGGAGCCGGGCTCCGGCCCAATTTAAGCACTGGGCACAGTGAACTTTTGACTGTGAAAACAAAACTATGGTATTAGGATCAGTGGAGTAGCGAACATAAATAGCGCCCAGGGCAAAATACCTTTTTGACGCCCCCCCCAAAAAAACCAAAACACAGTGGTGTGATAAAAATCTTGTTTGGAGAGCATTTGGCACCCTTCTACGAGCGGCGCCCGGAGCATCATACACCCTCTTGCCTCCCCCCCCCTCGCTACGCCCCTGCTTCCGATACAACTATAGTATCCAAGTTATTTGGGCCACAGTGTTGGTTTGTTTTGCATGAATAGGTTTCTAATTAGACAAAGTTTTTGAACGCATTTATAACAACAGACAAAATATTCGCAAAAAAGCTTAGAAAGGGGAATATAAAAATCAGAAAGTAACAGTTGAATATTACTAGAGATATAGAATTCACACTATCTATACAAAATTTCTTCCATGCATACTTTAACTAGTGTTGCATCAATTAAAGAAATTTATTATGTATGACGCTGGATTAAGATTAAAATATAAACTACTTTCAAGTATTAAATACACTGTAACTATCTTACATTACAAATGAATTAGAAATGTAGATGGGAAATACGGCTTCTATCTTTGTGCTAAATAAAGCAGGTCTCCAAGTATGTTTCCTATTATCTACATTTATAAGCCTTTTAAACTCGAAAAAGTCCTCAAGATCTCATCAATATCTCTGGCACTATGATTTATGATCTAATATTTAGTTCTGGATAAATAGCATTAAACGTTTAAACTGCCTAGATAAGAGTCGTGTTTATAACATCGCTGAAATTACTATCAAACAAACGAAAACATTCGGGAAAATGCAAGCGTGCTTATTTAGTTTAATAACATAGTTAACAACGGAATATTTTTACGCGCTGGAAATGAAATCCAAAGACAAGTAAATTACGTCTCCTCTGCGTTATTCGGATAGCATTTAATTATCTGAGCGGGATGAAGGAACACTCTTCTATAATAGGGAAGATGAATTTGGAATGTCTAATCACGAGCTCATGTCAAAACTGTGTCTAATTTTCTATAAACATAGT